AGATCCACGGCTGCAAGTGCTGGGGAGCAGGGAGAAAGTCGTGTGAGCGGCAGCAATGCCGGGGCGACCTCCAGAACCTGCTTCCCGCCCCAGCAGGGAGAGGACATGGAGCATTTAACCTCTTCTCCTCCACTTCCGGACACTGGAACTCAGCGCTCCTCTCCTGTCTGGGGGGCGTTGGCACAGGTCTGAGGGTCTTGGGCTCAGCGCTTTGAGGATTCTCCCCATTGATCCTGTAGGGTCTCGGGGCTGTTTCCTTCAGGGGAACAGGGGCTCCAGGCCAAATGTAGGAGGCCAAAGTGACACCCCTGGAGCAGGACTAGGATTGTCTTGCTGGATCCCAGGGTTGGGTGTATGCCCCATGGGGACTGGCTAGTTCACAGCAGCTGGGAGGCCTGCTCAGCCCCCTCGGGATCAACTGGAGCCTTCCCTCTTGTGGTTCAGGTAGAACCTGACCAGCCGGCCCATCCCCAGATGGCCAGTGCGAATGGGCCCCTCCCCCCTCCCTATCATACCAGAAAGAGATGCAGTAGCATGGTGGGGGTCAGGTGCTGCTCCAGGAATGTCTGCAGCACAAGATCCAGGCCCTCCCAGGGCAGTTCTTGGAGAGACTGGAGCAGAGAGAGAAGCAGGGAAGTAAATAGCAAGGGAGGTGGGGTGCACCAGGCAGGGGGACGAGTGGATCCCCCGGTCTGGAGCCAGGTGCTGTTGGTATTCAGGGTCCCTTTACCCAGGTGATACTGATCCCCCTGCACATAGACATGGGTCTCACCTGGACCACGGTCTGCCCTACCCCAAAGAATCCTTCCTCCCACCTGGGCTCCCCAACACATGTACTGAGCTGGGCTCTGGAGGGAAGGCCTCCTCCCTCCCGCTCTGGAGGGGCCCCAGCTGCCCCCCAACACCCCGCTGGCTCCCCAAGGGCTGAGCTGTTCATCCCGCTCCAGCCAATCTCTGTTTCTGTGGCAGGGCGAGTCATGGCCTGGCCGTGTGGCTGTCCCGAATCCATGCTTTGCTCCCTCTGCACCAAATGCTATTTAACACTCTGGGCCAGAGCCTCAGCTGGTGTAAACGGGGGGTAGCTTCTAGTTCCCTGTGCCAAGAATCCAGGGTAATTCTGTACAGTCTCACAGACACTCACGTCTACAGCTGTTCTCCCTGCCAACCCCACTGCAGAGTTAACTGCGTAGCCACTTGTCACCAGCCCTTTGGAAAATAAACCGAGGGGCTGGATTCGGCTGGACACGCAGCTCTCTGCATCGGGCCAGGGTCCAGCTACTCAGCCAGGGGGGTGGCTGAGTTTCCCAGCCAAGGAGCCAGGTGGAAGCTTTGTCCATGCCTCACTAACCTCTGCCCGGATAGCGGAGCTTTTTGCCACCTCAGTCCCTCTCAGCTTCGCCAGGGCTGGGCGCTGAATCATGGCGCTGGTGATACAAGTGCTGATGGTCTCAGCCGCCTGTTCCTTAGACAGGCGAGGCTCAAATTTCCTGATTGGAAGGAACGGAGCAGGCGGAGCCATTAGAATGGAGACAGGTCCTGGCATGAGTCAGGTTGAGTTTGATGGCTCGAGGGACAGCTCCCTCCCTTAGCAGCAGAGCTCCAGGGGGCATCTCCAGCAGAGCCACCGCCTAGGGAATGGTCCTGTCTGGAGATGCCTATGCCCCCTGGGCCCGGCAGGGGCTCTGCTGGGGAAGCTGCTCTCCGGGGCTGATTCTGGGCCCTGCTCTGCGCCTGCACCCTGCGCCGTCACAGCACTTCATGCTGACGGGAGGGGCTCCCTCTTACCAGGCAATACACAGAGATGGGGGCTGGATAAAGTGACCCGGAGGCTGAGGAGGGTATGGCCCGTTAGTGAGCCACCAGGGAGAAACATCCTCCGGTTCTTATTGCAGCTCGTCCCTCCCCCACTTCCTCTCCCTCCATCTGCCCCTCCCCGGCTGCTGGGCTCCACAGCTGAGTCAGGTCCCATGGACGTACCCTATGTATGAGATGGCCAGCAGGGCACGCTGGTGATCGGGGCTCTGCAGCTGGGCCCGGTCCTTGACTCTGAGCATCTCCTGCAGCACAAAGCAGAGAGTCAAAGGCAAAAGAATTTGGGGGAGCCCGGTTCCTCAGCAAGACTTGGAATCTCCAAATGCAGTTTGACGCCCCCACCGACCCTCAGCCCCAGCGTGCAGTGCACTGGGGCACGGAGCTGGGAAGATGGCCTGGGAGCGGCCATGTGGCCAGAATGCAGGAGACATTCACCAGAGCCCCTATTTCGCCATTCCTGACAGCACATCTGGAAACTTCAGCATCTGCCACGGAGCAGGGAAGGGGGATCTGGGCAGAGGCGATTTTGTGACGGGGAGCATTAGAGTCTGAAAAGCTGAGGTCAAATATTTTCCTGCAAACCAAGGGAGGGCTGCGCCTGTTAACTCCTCAGGATCATGTCCCGGAGTGAAAACCCTTGGAGTTAATCCCCAGGGCGCTTTCTGGGTGCCGGGCAGATCCCTCAGAAGTGGGATGGGGAATGGTCCCAGGTGTAAGCAGCATGAATCCGCTAATGGAAAATAGTGTCATTTAATTCCTTGGGCTGGAATCGCACCAGAAGACTCTGGCATCAGCACTGGGTTTGCAGTGCACAATGTAGAGCCCTGGGCACCAGGTCGCAAACCCAGCACATGGCCTTTAAACGCCAGAGACTCTGGCATGTGCATCTGCCCTAGGGACCCCTCCCAGGACCCAAGCATGCTCACTCACCAGCAGGGGGGACAGCACGGTGTATGTGTCCTGGCTCACCAAGGGAATCCTGCTCACTTGGGTGACAGCTTCACCCACCAGCGCGAGGCTTCTCAGAAAAGCAGATCTCACCAGTGGGTCCTGGGCTCACAGGCAGGAGGGGGAGAGAACAATGAGGAAACAGCCACAGGCAATAGAGAGCTGAGACACAAGGCTACAGAGCGAGTCTCTACAAGGGAGCTGCTGTCCTAGGCGGGATTGCCCTCACGCCCTAAGGGAAAGGACCTGGTTTGCCGAGTGGAACATCTTTGCATTCCCTAGGGCTGTGGGTCTCCAACTATTTTTACTGATGACCCCTTTCACACAGCAAGCCTCTGGGTGTGACCCCCCTAATAAATTAAACACCCTCTCTAATATATTTAACACCATTATAAGTGCTGGAGGCAAGCGGGGTTTGGGGTGGAGGTTGACAACTCGCAACACCCCATGTAATGACCTCGTGACCCCCGGAGGGGTCCCGACCCCCAGTTTGAGAACCCCTGGCCTAGGGGAATATCTCTGGAGATGAATGCAAGGAATGGGCTGATTCCCAGAGGTGCTGAGCACTTGCAGTTCCCAGAGCTGTCAGTGGGCCCTGGGGCTGCTCAGCTCCCCTGACAATCAGGTCGTAATTGTCTGATCTGGGACAGGAATCTGCTGCTCTCTGCAGTTGGCTGGGCTCTCCCTACCAAGGCATCCATTCTCCAAGGAGAACATTCAGTTAAACCAAAGTAGCATCCCCTCTCCTTTTCGCTGGGACGCGCATATGGGCATCGTAACCAGTGTAGGACTGAACGTCGGCCTCAAACCTCCGATGGCAAGAAAACAAACTAGAGTTATCTCAAAAATCCCCCTTCAGCACCAGAGCCTGTCAACCGGGCTAGGGGCCTGAATCCCTCAGTGCGCCTTTTGTGCCCAGCTACACCATCGACTGCAGTGTGTGGGGAAACGGGCCCTAAATCTTTATCTTCTGATCCCTGAGTGCAGCACAAGCCTAGAGGTACCAAACAGGGTACAGTCGTCTCTGGGACAATAGCACCAAGTGATGCTCAGTTACACTCTAACAAGGCCCAGATGGGAGTCCTTCCCTTAGCTTCCATGGGCCTGGAATCAGAGAAGCTAATTGAGATGGGGCAGTCACAGAGAGTGGTGCTGTTCCCATGTCTCCTGTCCCTCCTGGGGCAAAGGGCCAGCCCTCTGAGCTGAGTTTATGCAAAGACATAGCTCTGTGCTGCTGTGCACAGCCCGGGTAGGTGCTGTGTGGGCGGTCAGGGGAGGGCTCTGACTTACGTGTGGGCTCAGAAAATAGTGGTGTCGCATGGGAGCCAGGATATTGAAGCCTATGGTCTCTAGGATGAGATCCGTGGGGCGTGAGTGGACCACGTGCCCATAGGTGAGGAGCAGGAGGCTTCTCAGCTGCTCGATGGAAGCTGGCTCCTGAGAATTGCAAAGGAAAGAGTGAGGAGAAGGGATGGACTCCAGCTGCTCCTATCTTACAACTGGGGCCAGGGGAGGATTTTTCATCCAGCCGGCTTAGCCACCAAAGGCGACTCTGCTGAGCTGAATTGCCTGGACTCCGAGGCCCTTCCCAGCTCCCCAGGATTGGGTGGTTGAGGTGACCCGGCAGCCGAAGGGGACGCACTAGCAGCTGCTTTAATTCAGCCTAGCTCCAGAGATGTCACTGGGACTACAGTGGATTGCACTGGCCCAGAGAGTTACTGGGAAGGTGGTGGTGGTGGTGCGGGGAGAGGGGGGACGCAGGTTAATGTCAGACATGCCAGCCCTGGTGAGTCTGCCAGGAAGGTCTGTGAAATAGCCCAGTTCAGGGGAAGACCAAGGGTCTGTTCTGCTGAGAAATGTGTCAGCTGGAGCTGATGGCATGGCAGTGTCTTTTGGGCCCTCTCTGAGCCTTGTTTATGGGGCTGCGTGGAGCATGTCTGAGCTCCCCAGGAGATACCCTGGAGAGCTTAGACAACAGGACCCACCTTCCCCCCTGGATCCACCCCATTGTGCTGAGATTGCAACTCCACAGAGGAGTAAGGAAAGGGCTCCCTCTTCGGAGGCTGAGCCACTGCTTGGAAATTCAGCTCTTCGCTGAACAGGCTTCTGGGAAGCAGGGTCCTCCCTGGCAGGTCCCTTTACCTGCAAAGGCTGGTGAAGGGATGGATGAAAGAGCAGAGATGCTAGGTGGGACCGTACCTCCAGAGAGCCACCGGCAGAAGGCTGGAGCTGCACCCTGCTGACAAACTCTTCCCAGTGCTCCAGGATGGCGAAAACCTCATATAGCTGTTGCCTGGCACACAGCCCAAGCGCTCGGGCGAATCCCTGAGAGACAGAAAGATGGAGGTTGGGAATGCTGAGCAATAAGCCAAGGGGCCAGGATGGGCTCTCCAAGTCATTGCCATGGGCATGGGTATAAGGAAGATCTTTTCAATCCACTGGACGTTGTCCAAGGCAGAACATACACATGTAGCATCAGGGGATTGACAAAGAATGAGGGATCACTTGACAGTGGAGGAGCAAAGACCTCACCTCTCTTTCCTCTTCTTCTCGGAAATCGACCATCTCCACCAGAAGCCATAGCTGGGGCTTGATGCTCTCTGCTGGAAAAAACATCAGCACGGTGCCCCAGCACTTGTAGAGAAAGCTCTGCGAAAGAGACACCATCATGCTGGATGCATTGGGCACAGCCTGGCATGCACAGAGCCCACTGGGTATAGCTGTCTGCTTCACTGACCCCAAGCTGCCCCTGGTTAGCGACTGCTGTTCTGAACTAGGCACTGAACCCCAATTCCTTCCAGGACACTGACCTTGTCACTGGGCCGCTTATCACCGTAGGCCAGCTGGCGCCTGATACTAGTGATGAAACAGCCCAGCCAGGTGTGGTCCGAGATGAAGAAGAGAAAGTCTTCCAGGAACTGCCAGGGAAAGAAGAGCCAGTTAGAACCGAGAGGGGCCAAGAAACTGGTCCTCTCAATAGCTCCAGCCAGGAACCCACGACAGCTGGGAGGGGAGGGGAAGAGGGAGCGTGCACTGTCACCCCCCACGTCTCTCCTAATGCTTCTGAATCCTTGTGAGCTGCCCCT